AAACTGCTATGTTTATAAATGGGTTAATCCAGCCTCTAAAGCCTCTAGTGGCTGTCTCATTGACAGCCGCTAGAGGCGTTTGCGTGCTTCTCACTGTGAAAATCACAGTGAGATGACGCCAGCGTCCATAGGAAAGCATTATCAATGCTTTCCTGTGAGACCGGCTGAATGCGCGCGCAGCTCCTGCCACGCATGCGCATTCAGCCGAAGAGGAGGAGAAGGGGGGAAGAGGAGGAGGAGAGCTCCCTGCCCGGCGCTGGAGAAAGGTGAGTGTTTAACCCCTTCCTCTCCCCAGAGCCCGGCGGGAGGGGGACCCTGAGAGTGGGGGCACCCTCAGGGCACTATAGTGCCAGGAAAACGAGTATGTTTTCCTGGCACTATAGTCATCCTTTAATGCCGCATCCCCAAACAGGGCAATCAATGAAGACTGTGGGAGGATTGAAGGGCACACTGGAAGTGGGTAACATCTATAAGGAGTTAGTGGTGTGGGAGCGGATGATGAGAGGTTCCCTTTAAAGACACACACACATTGCTAATACATGGATACATATACAGCACACACACTACATATGAACATGCATCCATACAATCCTACAAACTACCAGCTCACTGTACTCCTGGAATACCTGCATCCTGGCAGCAAGGGGGTTGGGAGGACGGGGACGACAAAACTGGGACAGGAAATGTGTCCAGACAGCTACTGAAAAAGACAGGCAGAGATGGGGAACAGGAAACACAGGACTTGGAATGCTTAATCCAGGAGCCTAGGCAGAGAAAAGAGACTGAGAGATACATCAAAATTAAGTTGTTATGGTGCCAGGAGTTCCCTGAAGCTGGTTTACTTTAAGAGGTTAAACCTTTCTCAAACTCCTAAGTCAGAATCTTCCTGCCTCTCTGTCTTTGTTTTCTCAAAATCAGGAAACCGGAAGGCAGAATTGGACAGCACTGCCGCTAATTTGCTGAGTGATCAGCTGGCGCCCCCAATCGGCGACTCCCCATTCATAAAACTGACGAGGGAGGGGATATTGCAATTTGCTGTTATGTTCATTGCTTGTTATGATGTTGTATGGTCCCAGAGGAAGCCTAAGTTAGCGGAAATGTGTTGGAACAATTTTTTCAGATTTGATTTTCATAGTTGTTTTAATAAAATCTTTGCCATACTCACCTACCTGGCTGGTGTCCCTATCTTGAGAAAAGTAGTATGGGCACTAGTTCCGCAAGGACCTGGGGAGACATGCTTTGTGCGTTGACATTTCAAGACTTCTCTAGGGCTGCACCGTTCCTGTGGAACTTTCTGCCCTTTTCCGTTAGACGCTCACCCAGTCTCCACTCCTTCAAAAAAATCATTAAAAACTCACCTTTTCACAAAAGCATATCAATTAAACTGTCAATAGTTAAAAAAAAAAAAAAAAACACACTAAGTCTTCATTGAATACTATTTTACTTCCCTAAAACTTCCCTTACCCTTTGTGTCCCTTTCCCCAACTCCCTCTAGCATGTAAGCTCATTGAGCAGGGCCCTCAACCACTCTGGTTCTGTGTGTCAAACTTGTCTGGTTACAAATACGTGTCTGTTAGTCCACCTATTGTACAGCGCTACAGAGTTTGTTGGCGCTATATAAATATAATAATTCAATCCTGTGAGAGCAATTATACAACAGTGCTTATTAATTTTTTCAACATGCAGCATTATGATATTTATGCTGTTGTATTTCTAACATTTCAGCTGTATCATCACAGTAGTTTATTTACATTGCATGTAGGGAGGTATCTGGGAGGTCTCATGGGAAAGCTGCTACTGAAACCCACCTGGATAGATTGCTAGTTAAAGGGACAGCTCAATGAAGTGGTCTGGGTGCCAGGTCCCTCAGGTTTCAACCCTTCAGATGCAAACAGCAGTTTCAGCCTATAGTGGCTGTCTTCCGGACAGCCACTAGAGGTGCATCTGCGATGCTGGAGGCATATTATGCCCTCACCGCGCAGAGTGTCCATAGGAAAGCATTGAGGAATGCTTTCCTATGGACACTTTGAATGTGCGAGCGGCACTTGCCGCACATGCGCATTCGGCTCCGCTGACGTCAGGGGGGGCTGATAACGGCGGGGGAGGAGAGGTCACCAGCGTCGAGGGAGCCCGGCGCTGGAATAAGGTAAGTGGCTGAAGGGGTTATAACCTCTTCAGCGCCACGGGAGGGGGACCCTGAGGGTGGGGGCACCCTCAGGGCACTATAGTGTCAGGAAAACCGCTTTGTTTTCCTGACACTATAGTGATCCTTTAAGTATCATTTGTATGGTGGTGTAATACATGAATGTGTCATGCATTATTTAATCAATTTCATGTTATAATTGCTCTAAAAACCTTTACTTATACTATTAATGGTAAGTAATATTTCTATTGCACTAAGAATTTTCTGGTTGAACTCTTCACCTCTTTAAAAAGAAAAAAAAATGTTCTTTGTATCCGTCGAGAAATGGCTTGTGCCATACAGTAACCCTGATTCTAAAAAAGCCCAACCTTGACCCCAACTCCCCATCCAACTACCGCCCTATCTCGCTATTGCCATTTGCCTTCAAGATCCTCAAGAGAGTTGTGTACACCAGACTGACTGACTTTCTCAAATCCAACTCTCTGCTTGACCCCCTTCAGCCTGGATTCCACACTGGTCATTTTGTCGAAATGGCTGTGACCAAAGTATCCAACGATTTAATTGCTGCTAAATCTTGCGGCCATTACTCTATCCTAATTCTCCTTGATCTTTCTGCTGCCTTTGACACTGTTGATCATCAACAGCTTACGCAAATTCTCCATGATTTTGGTCTACGGGATACTGCTCTCCTGGTGCTCCTCCTACATCTCCCAGTGCTCTTTCAGTGTTTCCTTCTCTGACTCTGCCTCTTCCCTCCAACCACACTCTGTCGGTGTCCCCCAAGGTTCTGTCCTTGGACCCCTACTGTTCTCTATCTATACTGCCTCCCTTGGTAAACTCATCAACTCCTTTGGCTTCCGTTATCATTTCTATGCAGATGACACACAAATTTACCCATCCTCTCCTGATCTCTCTCTGCCCATCTTGACTCGTGTCTCTGACTGCCTCTCTGCGATTTCCAACTGGATGGCTGCTCACTTCCTTAACCCCTTAAGGACCAAACTTCTGGAATAAAATGGAATCATGTCATGTGTCCTTAAGGGGTTAAACTCAACCTGTCCAAAACAGAACTTTTGGTCTTTCCTCCCTCAAGTGTTGCTACTCCCATGTCTGTCTCTCTTCAAATCAACGGCGCTACCATCACCTCTAACTTGCAGGCCCGCTGTCTGGGTGTTCTTTTTGACTCCAACCTCACCTTCACCCCTCATGTCCAATCAAGCGCCAAATCCTATCGCTTCCATCTAAAAAACATAGCACGTCCGCCCCTATTTAACACCGGATGCAGCTAAGGTGCTGGTCCATGCTGCTGTTCTCTCTCACCTAGACTACTGCAATCCCCTTCTCAGTGGTCTTACGTGCTCCCTGACTGCACCGCTGCAATCTATAATGAATGCGGCGCGAGGCTCAGTTTCCTGTCCGCTCGCAACTCCCATGCCTCCCCGCTCTGTCAGTCACTGCCTGGGCTTCCAGTTAGATATAGGGCTACATTTAAAATTCTGGTGCTTGCCTACAAGTCCCTACATAATGCTGCTCAAACCTACCTTTCCTCCCTAATACACAAGTATGTCCCGTCGAAGCCCCTGCGCTCTGCCAAATACCTACTGTGACGAAGTGCCCTTCGCCACTTGTGCCTGGAGAGGACTGATTGCCCGCCTCTTGCCCTATGACTATGGACCCTGGGAGATTTGGCCTGTTCAATTCAGTATGATAGGAGTTATGTATTTTTGTATCCTTTTGTGTTTTACTGGGAACATGTGCTCAATGGAGTCTGCTTCTATCCCTGGATAATTGGATTACTTCCCCCATTGTCTCCAGGCTAGAGGGCTCTGTAAAACCAGTTTGGACCAGATAGCCATGCTGCCAGCCAGGCCCCAAAAGATACTTTACTAACTTCTGAACCCCTGGTCTGATTCATGCCATTTTTTGATATGTTGTTTCCCTGAATGGATTGATTGTGAATATATAATTTTTATGTGAATGTGATGTATATTTTAGAAGTTATGAATGCTGTAAAAACTGTATTATTTCTGGCCAGCAGATAATTTAGCTTTGTGTATTGTAGAAACTAAATTATCTAGCCTGGCCCAGAGGAGGAGTTTTGTGTTGCATAAATTGTGAGTTCGGTGTGCCAGTAAATCAGTCTTGTTCCAGCATTAAGCCTTGGCTCATGTTTGGGGGACTGGAGAAATACACTCTGGGGATTGCAATAATCACTATACTCCCCAGGGTATGATCACTAAGTTCTGCTAAGAGCTTGTTCCTGCTCTCTGGGGAAAGAGAGGTTCACCCACTGGAAGCTGGATCCTGGCCTTGGGTCCAGGGTGAGTGGAGACAGCAGAGACCCCGGCGCAGTTGCATCGCTGGAAGTGGGGTCTGCAGTGCTGATGGTGTCGGTTGGAGTCCTCAGCGAGCACTAGGAGCATCGATTGGCGGAGGTACTCAGTCGGAGTGCCAGCGGTCCATCACGGTACGTCACACCTACGTCTATCCTCTGTCCGTACTCCCACCTCTGATGCTTGCCTACAAGATTTCTACAGGGCTGCACCTCTTCTGTGGAACTCCCTTCCCTTCTCCGCAAGACTTTCACCCAGTCTCCACTCATCCAAAAAAAAAAATCATTGAAAACTCACTTCAAGAAAGCATATCAATTAAACTGCAGGTTTTTAACCCTCCACCCCCTATGACTCCTCTCCTACAACTGTAAAAAATTACCTAGTAAGCCCTCATAGAATACTTTTCTAACAACCTACTTCGTACCCCTACTTTAACCCTTTGTGTCACTATACCCCACCCCCTCTAGAATGTAAGCTCATTGAGCAGGGCCCTCCACCCACTCTGTTCCTGTACGTCCAGTTGTCTGGTTACTCTACCCTTTGTACAGCTATGGAATCTGATGGCGCTATATAAATAATAAAAATATGCCTTAAATTCTGGTTCCACTGTAAATCCTCCCATGTAAGAGAGAATACCCCCAAATTTATGGTTAGGAATCAGTATTTGTCCTGGTTTGAAACATGAACTTTGGGTCAACTCAACCGTATTGTATGAACAAACAACATGGATTCTGGCATCCATGATGCATTATAATTCTGCATATCAGTTAAAGGGACACAATAATCACTAGTACAACTACAGCTTATTGTATTTGTTCAGGTGCGTAAAATCATTTCCTTCAGGCTTTTTGCCGTAAACACTGTCTTTTCAGCAGCATTACAGTCTAGTGACAACTCCACTGGCCACACAGATGGCTACGAGAGGTGCTTCCTGGGGCAGTGCTGCACTGTGAGCAGCACTGTCATTCAGTGTCTCCACCCTCTGCAAGCAGACACTGAACTTTCATCATAGAGCTGCATTGATTCAATTCATCTCTATGAGGAAATGCTAATTGGCCAGGGCTGTGTTTGACTTGTGCTGGCTCAGTCCCTGATCTGTCTCCTTGACAATCTCAGCCAATCCTATCGGGAAGTATTGTGATTGGCTCAGATCACTTCTTCTGATGTCAGCAGGCAAGTCAGAGGCAGCAGCAGCTGCATACTTGAAAACAAGTAAGATTTCCCTATATTTAGGGAGACAAGGGGCTAGATGGTGATTTTAACACAATAGGCAAAGGAATACAGTATCACATCCTGGCAGCTGTATCCATCCAGAGTTAACCATGCACAAAGATTCAAAGAAAAAATTGTGGGTATGTATACAAATAAATAAACCCTACTTGGTGTTGGTCCCAGAGTGTGCATAGAAGAAAACCAATAAAAGGGGGGTGGGGGGTGCAATTAGATAGACAATTGTGCAAGGCCTTAGTTGTAGTTTGCCTTGGAACCTCATTGTAAGAGGACTTGGAAGTCCCCAGAATCTGCAGAAAAGAACAAATTGGTCCAATTAGCCAGTACAAGACACGTTGCATGGCACCCATAGGCACAAAAATGAGGTCCTCCTTGCATTGAAACCACAAGGGAGTTAAATATCTCTCCTCCAATACAGCGGTATCAGGCTTTTAGCTACAGTCAGGATTCTTATCGCCATGGATTTCTTATAGGCTAAGGAGTGGGCTGTGGTATAGTGTTAAAGAAGCGGGAGAAGGTTGTAATAGAGGAAAGATGTCCAAGTATTTCTGTATTAGCTTATCAATTCGATTCTCCCCAACATGAACGAAAGGACATTCCCACCATACATTAAATTGTGTATCCTCTGCTTGCCAACATCTCCAACACAGGTTATCAATGAAGGGTTTAATAGTGTGTAAAAGCTGTGGTGTCTTGTACGAAAATGAAAGGAGCTTATATAACTCAATATTGCCCAAATATAGAGTGAGATGAAGGTTGGCTGCTATTCCATGTTCGAGTGGGTCAGTTTTAATGCAGATGGTTTCAAATGTAATATCCCAATTTAGGAGTGGGTGATCTAGGACAGGGCTAGACAAATCCAAGGCACAAGGTCACCATGGCAATTAGGAATTTTGTAATGGTGCCTTGGTGTTTGTCAGCCTGTTCAGCCCCAGAGGTGACCAGCTCAAGGAGAAATGTAATCTGGCTCTGCTCCCTGGAGTGATGCCAGGAGCTGTAAAATGACATCACTTTGGCCCTGGCCTTACTATACAGCACGGCAGGGAGCAGGACAGAAAAAAAAGCAGCGATCAGCGCAGAACATGTATAAGAAAATGTGTGTGTGTGTGTGTGTATTACATCAGTGAGTGTATGTAATACAAGTGTGTAGTACAACTACATCTTTCACTCAGTGTTTGCACCATTCTTTGCAATATAGTAAAGTGATACAGATTTGTTTTTAGCTCTATGGAGAGGAATGACAATGTAGCGCAAACAGTGTAGTATAGGGGTATGCATCTTTCGGAACTTGACATTTGGACAACATTTTCCATAATACCTCTTACAGCTATAATGTTTGCAAAGTATCGGATGGGGTTGAGGATGTAGCCCACATCATCTTGAGTGACTAAGTTTACCTACCTCTGGTCTAGTAAATACCCGAAATTAAAAAATGAATCATGGAATTTAGAATATTTTCTGTATCGTCATGTGTTTCCATTACCAAATAGTCTGCTGTTTTTCAAGGATAAAAACTTTGCAAATTCACAATAACATGCAATGTAAACTGTAAGAAACCTTTTGCATTTAAGATGGCTGTGTTTTTCTGAACCCACTTTCCTGTTGCTACATCACATTATTTCAGTGATTTACTGAAGACACAATTTTCTTCCGCTCTTCAAAAAGAGACACGCAAATTGAGGTTTATTTTTTTTTTTGACTGAGTTTATTTTCCGTTTATCGCCTTTGTTAAATTAAAACGTTGGGCATGAAGAGAACATTTTTTTCAATGAATCTCCACATTTCTCTAGATGACAGTTCTGCTTGCCCTCCTTGAGGACCTCACTTGAAGATTTTGCCCTGGTTGAAAGGCTTTCCTACATTTTTGAATTCTCCCTCCCATGAGAAATATTCTTTCACAAGAGTCTTGCACTCCTCACTATCGGAATCCAGTTTCCTCCAGTTGTAGGATTCATAGTCAATTTGCCAGTCCTCGCTCAGCTGTAAAGGGATGGAGCAAGTTAGCAATATTTCGCATGCATAGCACCCCCTCCCAAGAATTTGATACTAGTTGTTCATTATAGAATACACTTACTGTGAATGCAAGGTCATGACCTCGGAATATCCACACTCCGGAGATAGTACTGTCATTGTTGGTGCCAAATAGAATGACACTGGCAAAGGCAGTTTTACGTAGCTTGTCCAGTCGCTGGAACATACCTGCAGAGGGTAAGATTGCGATAAGAACAGGGTCAATATTATTAGGTAGTAATTTACAGCAGTGACAAGTTAGTATTAATTTCTTTATTGAAAGAAAATAGGTAGGCACCTGATTTTAAAAAACAGTGCTTACCACCATTAGTAGGACATACTGGCACAATTCCACACTCACCACCTGGCTTCCTACCTGGATATACAGGCAGGCATCACTCATCAGTGCTTGTCCCTTGCCTCCCTCCCCTGATATGGTTAAAAATCAAGCACCACACGGACAGCAGGTATCTGCTTTACATTAATACTAAAAGGTCCCTCAGACCCTGTCTGCACTGAGCCTAGCACCATGGCCAGAAAGCAACAGGCACTACTCCAACAGCAGGTACCTGCCATTAAAGCAGCCTGGTTAAGGCTTGTTTGCTTTAGATGCGCTAACATTTTACAGTTTTTTTTTTAAAGTAATGTTTTGGCGGCATCTTGTGGCTAAATTCTGAATTACACGTGCAATTTGAATTAAGGGGATACTATAGTCACCAGAACAACTACAGCTTAATATGTTCTGGTGTCTATACCAGGTCCCTGCAGGCATTTTGCTGAAAATGTTTTTACATTAGTGCCTAGGAACACCTTTAGTGGCCACTCTTCAGAGGCTGAACACTCCCCATGGAGATGCATTAAATCAATGTATATATGAGGAGATGCGGATTGGCTAAGGCGGCATTTGGCCCCGCCCCCATGGCTGAGATAATAAATTTAACCAGGAAAAGCACATTCAGATTAATCTGGTTTTCAAGTACGTCATTAGAACTGATTATCACAGCCAAGCCAATGCTTTCCTATGTTAAAGCATTGTGATTGGCTGTAATCATCAATGCTAAAGCTCACAACCAAGGAGGCGGATCGAGGCAGCACTGCAGTTTGTTTTGTTTAATAAACAAACAAAATAAAAAGCCAGAGACCGTATACCATTTTTAAGCCTCAAAATGTCCAAGTTATATAACTCATTAATAGGAATATGTCTGCATGGCTAAGTAGTAGTGGTGCCATATAGACCCGTTAGTGATTGAAAACTTTTTGGGGAAGAGTCCATGTGTCTAGTTTGGCACCCCACCACTTGAAATGTCACCAGTCACCACGGAATACAAAGACTTCTTACCTGTAATGAGATTGCAGCTCATGAATGCCTGAGTCAGTTCATCAGGGAAGCGATACTCAGAGTACCAGATTGACCATCCTTCTTTGTCAAAATGTTCCCAGAAATAAGGAAGAGCCACAGTCAGAGTGTCCTCATTAGAATATTTCCTCTTGAATTCATCCATAACAAAAGGGCTGAGGGCAGAATGAAGCATGTCAGACTGAAATTGTGAACATCAGATTTTCACAAAGACCTAGAGCAATTCTTTACAATGGGTATACGGACGGTAACAAAGAAATTCAGTGCGTAGCAAATTAAGACTGGGTATAACAATGGGACTGATAAAATAAATTAGTCTGTTTTTCCAGTTAGTCTCCAACTTCAGATTTTAGCTTAATTGTACCATTAAAGACCGAACCCATACCATCTGAATAGAAGTGAAGTGCTGGCATGCTCCCACTTTAAGAAACAGCAACCATAGCCAACGTTGGGCTTCGTAAGAGATCTGTAAATAATCCCCTGAAAGGCTTAAATAGCAAGGGGTTCACATTTACAAGGCGCAACTTATTCTGCAGTGCTTTACAAAAGAATTGACAAACAGAGGAGAGCTTTGACTTAGGGAAACCCCAGCTCAAGTTTACGCTCTGCACTTTAAGTTTAAAAACAGCGCAATAATTGAGGACCGAATTACCAGGTATGTTGCCATTAAAATAAGAAGAGAAGAGTAGCAACTAGACCAGAAACAGGGCAACTAACAAGACTTACAAATGGATAATTTATATTAAAAAGGTACCTCTTAGGGAGGTGGGCATATGGGTCCTTTGATTTGGGCTCTGCTGCCAAAGCCTGGTCTGCCTCATCCATCTCCTCCTCAGGAGCTGGAGCAGGAGGCTGCTTCTTTTCTTCCTTTTCTTTCTTTGGCTCCTTTGGTGGTTTCTCCTTCTTGGGTGTCTCTTTCTTCGGCTGAAGCTCTGCAAACTTCTTAGCTGTTGAAGTAAGTTATTTTTGAAACAAATGCTTTTTATAGGAACCAGACAAAAGTCACTCTTTTCTAGGTTCTCTGCTTCCTACATTAACTCATACCAACTTTCGTACACCTTATTTAATATGGCAGAAGATTAGTATGTGCAAGAGAAAGAAAGTGGTAAGACCAGGGACCCACACCCCAACATAATTACTCTATAACCACACTAAGTGATACAAGTGCAGCATTGGTGTCTTGCGTTACTCATGCTGCACACATCAAACCTGGCATGCACCAGGTAATTGCGGATGCCTCTAATATATGAGGCAGAACAGCAATAGCAATCTGAGGCTACATGTATTACAGCCTGCTGTATTGGCCATGATGCTGGACTTGCTTTTTAATACCTTTTCCATTGTTACCAGAAATATGGGTGTGGGAATGGTTATAATGGCACAAGACTAGTTCAGGTTTGTGCACGGAGAGGTCACTGGTTTTATGTCTTTTTAAGGACCACAGGCATCTCAATGAAATGGTTTGGATGCAAGTGGTCCTGTATTGGTAACCCTGCAATGTAAAACATGCAGGGGTAGGCAACCTGGAGCACTGCATATGTGGCTTATACTCACCATCAAACTGAGCCATTTTGTCACAGAGCTTCACCTCTCCAAGCACAGCACGGAACTGTGGCTGATTTACACAAGTTACAAACCATCGTGTGACATTGCCAAACGGTTGGCGGAAGGACGGATCCAAAACCTATAGAGGGTACATGAAATAAAAAGGCAACATTACAACTAGTTTGTAAACCATTGGGGAAATGGAAAAGAATAGATGGGAGATTGTTGAAGGCAGGAATGGACATGTACCAGAGAGTATTAAAGTAATACCTGTTTGTAAAGCCACAGGAGTGAGCACACTACATTAATGTCAGCCAAAGTGATTCTCTCACCAACCAGGAAGGTTCGTGTCTGCAGATGGGAATCTAGTGCAGCCAGCACATGCTTCACCTCCTCCTTGGCCTGTTCTGTTGCCTTGGGAAAGATCAAAGAAAATAAGAAAAATTAAACCGGACAGATTTCTATGCGAATGTGCAATTTAAAAAGGGATACTCCAAGAGAAACCGAACTTGCTTGCAGTGTGTAGAACAGGGGTGCCCAAAAGGTAGATGCCCAGATGTTTTACAACTATAGCTTCCATGATGCTTTATCATTCTAAAAGCATCATGGGAGTTTTAGTTCTACATCTGGGGATCTACCTTTTGGGCATCCATGGTGTAGAAAACGTTTTTTTAATAAGCGTTTCATATTTTAAAAGTACAACATTTCAGATAGTGAGCTATTCATTGATTCCCCCACAATTAATAGCAACATCTTAGCAGTCCAATATGCTGCTTTGGTTTCAAGTTAAAGTGTATTACAGTCCCTGAATAAATCTGACAATTCCTCCCCTCCACCCTCCTATTTTCTTCATCCATGTGCCCTGTTCAATACTGATTAGTAAGACAAAGGAGAGCATGACGTACATAGGGATTGTATGATAAACATGATTTTTAAAGGGTGGGTTATGAAGTAAATTAAAAACCATGTAGTTTTCTTTTGTCTTAAATCCATTAATTACATGTAATAGGAGTTGTTTCATTCATCACAAAAAAGGAATTGTCTAAGACTTTCAACCAAACTGACTGTTAACTTATTTTCCTGCAATTAAATGGGACTGTTGCAAATAATGTTAGGAAAATTAAATGTATGATTGTTGGTGAATTTGATACACACTAAAGAAGGAAGCTCAAACCAGCTCCCATTTGACGGACCTTATAGCTTCAGAAACATACCTGCTTGTTGTATTGCATAATGCCCAGTGTTGGGAACACCCAGGCACTAGCTGGTGGGACAATGTGGCTTTCAGAGAAGCTGACCCACTGAATGATATGAGCCTGGTGTACACGGGATGTTCCACGGAGTTCATCGTTACCCACTGCAAAAAAACATTTTAGAGGGCTTAAAATTTGTTGCAAAGCAGAAAATGAAGAATGGGGGAAAAAAAAAAAAAACAACATTTTACTCCAGAAGAAATAAAGGAGCAACAAACAAGTCAGAACACAGGAAATGGAAACCTGGACACCTACTTACCATAGTGAGCGATAGCACTGCTTTCAAACAGACAGAAGCCGTCAACGTCCTCAAACGCTGGGACCTAACAAAGAGGACAGAGACTTCCATTTTATTTCTAGATTCCTTCTTCCTCATACAACAGCCATTCTGTCAATCTCCAATTAGTGCATGCTAATAGCTTGTTATCTTCTTTATCACTACTTATATTCTAACGCCATGATCTTGCTCCTTAACATGCATGACACTTACCTTGCCAAGTGGGAATTTCTTAAGGAATTCTGGTGTCTTATTTGTTACGCCAAATTGAAATTCTGGAGGCGAGGAAGCGACCTTGATGGGAAGCCCTGAATACTGGGCAGCGATGAGGGGTTTGTATGCCCTCCAGTTATCAGGGTATGTGTACAAAGTCTGTAAAAAGATACATTAAAGATAGATTCAAATTGACCTGAAATGTAACAAATTACTTATTCTAAAACCTCACCACTACAACTTACAATGCAATAGTGTGCATAAACTTATAGCAGTTTACTGGGTTCTTGCAATTTGTGATAATATGCTGGCAGCAACTATAGTGCATTCCATTAATAATTACAGATACTGCTATGTCTAAAACTAAGATTTGTTGTGGACACAGAGCAAATGTAAATGATATTTCCTGCAGAAATTTACTTTCAGATAAGGCACACATGCTTCGAGCAAAAAAACAAAATAAACACACCACAACATAGAAAGTTAAAAAAGTATTGGAGCACAGAATTTAGAAAGGATTCAAATCAAAGTATTCGGCTTCTCATGTAGTGTCATATTCAAACCAGAGGTTCTCCTTTTGTTTAAATTTGTCCTCTAGTAAAATGTGCATTTATTACATAAATATGGGTTTCTCCTATTAGGAGAAAACATTTAAACAATATGCTCTCATTTTATTTGATTAATTACTGGCAACATAGCAACATTTACCCCAGAAATATTTTTGGGTTTAAAAGAAGACGACAAATACATTTTTCAAATTTGCAGTGTCTAAACAGGGCTTGTCAGCACCTAAGAGGTTTTATTGTGGAAAGCAAGGAAGAAAAAGATAAAACACTGTGAAATAGGGATTTGTACAGTTTAAATAGGACCACTAATGTCACCAAGGCCACTTTATCTTCATGCAGTGGTCTGGGTGCAGAGGTCCAGTCCTTGTAACCCTGCGATGAACATTTGCAATTCATATGGCAGAGTTAGATCTTCCTCTAGTGGCTATCTATGGACAGTCACTAGAGGCGCTTCCGTGGCAATGAGACAAGTAAGCAATGATTCAATGCTTTCCTATTGGGAAGTTTAGAGTGAACCCCAATGCTACTGAGGAGCACTGGATTGGACATTGGCAGAGTGTGCCATGCCTTCATTCTGACAATACGGGAGGCATCACAAATGGGGATGGGGGACCTGTATTTAAACAGATATAGACACTAATCCAGGAGTGTTCAAAAGGTAGATCCCAGATGTTTAGAATGACTAAAACTACAGTTTTTGTTCTACAACATCTAGTAATCTACCTTTTGGGCACCCCACTACTAAACCTGTATTCCGCTTTAATGTTCCTTTAAGAGTTATGCATGCTCAGCGAGGGCTAAAGATGTGTGCATCTGAGCTAGACTTCTTAGGTCATTACAAATCCCATGAAAGCAGGATACTGCAAATGCACATTTGTCTGAATAGCCATGTCTCAAAAAGGCATCAAGGCTTAAAATAGCACATAGTTTTAAACTGCTATGTAACAGACTTTAAAGAAAAAACGCTTTCCCACGCCACACACACACAAGTCTGAGAATGAAGAATGTCTCCCACACAAGTATTTTCTATTTATTTTTTGTCTAAGCAAAAGGTGCGAATTTTAAATACTTAAAAAGGTCCTTATAGCGCCTACAAATTCTGTAGCGCTGTACAATGGGATGGATGTGTTTCACCACTGTGACTGTATTAGGACAGTTAATAAAGTAATTTGTTAAATGCATAGATTTGTGCGTAAAACTAGTCAAATGGATGAGCTGAAATATTTTTCCAGTGGGATTCTACGACCTTGTGAGAACAAGGTTTCCAATGTGGGCAAGTCAGTGTGCCTGGCGAGTGTCTTACCATCAAAGAAACATATTGCATTCCATTAAAATGGAAGGGGCATTTGTTGGTTGCGATAAAATACAATTGCAAAATTTTGGTGCCAGAAATACACCTCTTAAAAATAATGACTCGCTCTGAGGATTATCAAAGCACTTGATTTGCTTATTTCCATTTAGCATCATGAATCAGATGTTACAGATAGTTGGGTGGGGTCGATAACACCACACCTAGGATTACAGAACTTCAAGAGTCTATGAAACCATGGTGGCAAGCATGAATATAATGTTGCAGGTCAGCATTTGACTCACTCTTTTATAGGTCCTACTACACACATTCTCTTAGAATTTCTTTTTAAAGGTTACCCCAAGCACCATTACCACTTCACTGATCTGAAGTGGTTATGGTGTCAGGAAGCTGTATGCGCAGCATTTCATTATGTAAGTTTAAAGGGAAACAGTATTAGGAATACAGATGTATTCATAACATTAAAGGGTCCCCACTGCCCCCACCTTCCTCATGGCACCCCCGGTGGCAAGTAAAGGATAAAAAAAAAAAAATCCTTTAGTCACTTACCCTATTCCATGGCTGATTTCCCTCGGTGCTGGGTCAAGCTTTTCCTCCACTGACCTACTGCGCATGCACGGCAAGATCCGCACACACATTAGGTCTTCCTTGACGCAATGCTTTCTTAAGGGGGTTTTAGAAGACATTGGATGAGCGTCGTTTCACAGAGTCAAACTCTGTGAAAGGCTAGGTAGCGCCTCTTGTTGCTGTCTGGTAGACAGCAACTAAAGGCTGTCTTCGCGCTGCAATGTAAATAATGCAGGGCAGCTGCGGGGCCACTGCACCCAGACCACTTCAATGCCTAATGTCCATGGCCCCCACAAGTTCCAGGTTGGTTATTGTCAATTCTGTGCACATTTGGCATCTGTCACAAGCAGAAGTGATTTATGTTTTCACATGAAAAATACTGGAGTAATAATAGTAATATATAGCAATAAATTGTGTGGGTTTACAGTTTAGTTAAAGTATGGGTGGGGAAGATTTCAATGGAAACACTATTCTCAGTGATTTATTGAGCTGACAGTAATAAAGAGGCAGAATATGAGAACAATTGCAGATTTGGGGGGGGAAGGGTAGGTGAATCTAGAAAGCAGGTAGGAGCCAGGACTGCATGCATGAAGATGTGGGAGCAGGCCCACGAATTTGTTGAAACATGTAGCAAACACCAAGAAAGGAAATGAAGAGAAAGCCATGTGCACTACCAGACACAAAACTACCAGCAGAACACACACACTATATACATTTGTGGTCGGGGCAAAACGTAATATTAAATATATGCAAGTCAGTTGTGGTGTGCCGAAACCAACGTACTGGTAGGCCTGTAAAATAAAGAAGGCCCACCTCAAGAATTTGTTCTGAAAATTAAGGAGTGGAGGGTGGGATGTGCGCTATGCAGACCACTATAAGCATTACTCCACACACATACCAAAAATAAATAAAAAAGTATGTGTGTATATTATATATATATATATATATATATATATATATATATATATATATATATACACATATACATACACACACACACACACACACAAACCTCAGAACAATATAATAACTCAAATTAAAGCGTGAATGCTATTCACATTCTATACATTATATATCATGTAACCAAACCTCACCCTTCTGCATAAAGCACTAGCTATATACACAGATAGAGGAATATGGGGCATTGTTGAAATAAAGCCATTTAATTGCAGACACCAGGGACCTGTCACAATGCCGGTTACAGTCAGTGCTATCTGACAGGTTTCCATCGCATAGAATGGTGTGTATAGAACACGCTGACTATAGCCATGTACATGGTGCGTGTCTCCTCTATCTCCCGTCATACACTAGTTCCCAGTTCCGGGTGATGCCGGTCGGGGGTGGGGGGGTGTCAAATCCCGGGGTACACACAGCTCCCCAAGCCCTGAATCAGTCAAATAAAGACAGCCAGGGTGAGCGGAGACTTGTCTGAACACCATGGACTCACATCCCCGCCTTACAATGCCCTGGATGAATGGATGGCAGCGGATTACCGCAGACCCAATCTTTACTCACCCCGCCGGCCATCTTCATGCGAGGAGAAAAGGAGGAGCCGTCGAGCAAGCTGTCAACGTAACGAGGCATCAACCACAAAGCGAGGCCACAGCTGGGTGTCGTGATATAGGCGCTACCTTACATACAAGCCCCCTAGTGATATACTTGGAGAGGTGCAGGTTCAGGAATTCCACAGTGTTCTATGTAGTTCCACGTTTATACCCAACTACAATCAGGGTGTTTCAGTGAAGCATGATTTCATAGTGAATTATAAATGTAGGTCAAAACAGCCAAATAGAATATAAAAAAAAGCCCGCCAGTCAGATATGGTTTTTAATCCAGTTATTTTAATTTAAAATGTGCATTTCACTCTGTATCTTCAAATTTCTGGATTGTGGGGATAACCCTGTAAGTGTTTGACTTTACCTTAAGTGATTTATATTTGCCATATCACGTAGACTTGTGCACAAATGCATCTCAGCTGCTATAAACAGATCAAACGCATTTTAATCTGCGCCCAAATAGATCGTTCCTTCCGGATTCACCTGTGGGCTCTTATTCATTGAACAATGTGGATGAAAAAGGCATTTGATTTGTTTGCACCAGCTGAAATGCATTTGTGTATAAATCTAATATCAACCATCTTTTTCTGGGCCCACGTAATGTCATCGTGTAGATTAGCGCCACTTGAAAAGTGTGGCAATTTAAGTTTAACATATTTTATTAGGGACATCTGTACAATATAGTATTTTAATTAGAAAACAGTCACTCAATGTTTACAAAACCCTCCAATATATAGAATTTCTGTGCCCTGCACATGAAACATATTATGCTTCTGTATGTAGAATTCATATGCTGCTGGGTTCTTGATAGATTGATTACTTTTTTCATACCTATAGCATGTTTATTAAACATTCGGCCTGTTTATGCCAAACAATGTACCACAGTCTTTTGAAATCCGTCAGAGACCCTTGAGTTGTACTGTTCTGCATGTTCAGGATTATGACATGGACGTACACCTGTTGACGTGCCAGAAGTTGAAGATGTCCATCACAATCAAGATGGCGGTGCTTATGTGGCAGAACTTTATCCACTGGTAAGGTAACCATAACACAAGCAGGCATGATGTATTTGGCATAAAATAAACAAACATCCTCAAAGGTGACAGAGTTGCTTTAACAAAATATCTTTATTGCACATTCTGTTTAATATAGAATTTCTTATCTCATGCTCTGTGAATAGCCTCCTGTGTGTGATTAAAGTTCAATTTATAGAGCAGGAGCTAAAAACTTCTAAAGTAAGTTAACATTGGATTGAAAATTAAACCATTTATTTTTTTTCATGCAGGGTGTGTTATTCACAGTCAGTGGTAGGTGTGGCTAGGGCGGCATAAACAGTAAAGAGATATGATGGTCTCTTAATACACAGAGACCAAAAGATGGTTGGTCTCTGTGTATGGTAACACCAGTTCCAGAAGACCCTATGGTGAGTTTACTCATACCCCTCCAATGCCCCCCTCCATCCCCAATGCGCCCCTCCCGCTGGGCTTAAGGGGTTAAAACACTTACCTTTCTCCAGCGCTGGGCTCCCTCGGCGCTGGGGAACTCTCCTCCCTCTCCCGACGTCAGCTTTGAATGCGCATGCGCGGCAAGAGCCGCACGCGCATTCAAACAGTCCATAGGAAAGCATTTCTCAATGCTTTCCTATAGACGTCAGAAGCGCCTCTAGCGGCTGGATTAACCCTAGTGTAAACATAGCAGTTTCAGTTTACAGCTGCAGGGTTAACACTAGATGGACTAGTGCTCTGGGTGCCTATAGTGGTCCTTTAATAGACGAGAGAAAATCCATCAAATTTCCTAATACAACTTCAAAGGACAAAAAAAAATATATCTAATGCAAGTCCAAACTTCCCTCAATTCTTGGAGTAACCACTAGGGGCTATTCTACATACCCATTATGGTCAGTTTAATGTAAAATTAATAGGCTGGAGCTTTCTTACTTATATTACTGCTTTTAACATTTTGTCAGGACAGTCTGATTTCATCAGGCATGTCTTGTCAGTAACATATCTCCTATATTTATTACTTTGTTTTTCCTTGGTAATTTTGTATCTTAGTGCAGTCATTGTGTGTGATGCAGGGTGGAGCTTTTAACATTAATTGAGTTTCCTATGAATTGAGGATCAGTCCTCTCACCATACTGAGGAAAGTTTGGATTTTATGACAAGACACGGAGGCTCATATTGCATATCCCTTTCTTTACTGTCCACCAATAGCAGCAAAGGATATAAACAGAATGAAAAAACAATGAACATACAGTGACATAGGCCCCTCCCTGCACAGGTCCCAGTATAATAGGCAGCACTTCCCTTTCATTTCCCTCTTTCTTTGCAGCTCCAAAGATAAGTAACAACTCACATTTTTCTCTCATAGATTACTTATTTATTCTGTCAGTTATGGTTGTTAATTCTGCTATTTATTGTTCTATTGTTTCTTCTCTATTGACAGATTCAATACTATTCTTTTATTTGATGCTATTAAGGGATTTTTTCTCCTCAGTTTATCTATTTATGTTTATTATATGTGTGTATATACATATTGTTGTCTCCCAGGGTTCCAGACCTTCTGTGTGAAATATTTATCTGTGCACTCTCAGTTTGGCTTTTCTGTGATTTGCTCTTATTTCTTATCTATTTTCTCTCCTCTCCCTGTCCTCTGGCACCATTTTGTGCTGCTTCTCTCCGTTCTGTTCGGCTGTTTTGTGCATGAATCTAGCTGTCCGGCTAAATTCACGAACACAGCATATAGCAACATATAGCATATAGCAACATTCGCCTATTTGCGGCGTTCGACTAATTGATTCGTGCGGTTTACTCGTTCGTCTGTTTTTACATTCGTCTGTTTTATTTACACGAATTAGCCTATTTTACTGCACGTTCGGTTCTTTTCTATTGACGAATTCACTGTTTTTTGCCGCGAATCTCGCGGGACTCGCGGCGGCCATTTTCCGACTTCCTGTCATACTACCTCGTGTGTGTCTGTGTGCCTCTGGTCTGGACCCTGGTGAGATCCCTATTGTTCTCTTTTCCCTATAGTTTGGGTGACTAACCCTTACTACCCTGTAAACTCACTAGTAGGAATATTGAGCTGCATCCAATATGCCCAAATCCAGGATGCCTTCCAGCTCACCACCCTCTGGGGTGATAGATGCCCCTTTGCCTCTGGGAGAGACCCCTGTCATCTATGGCACGCCATGTACTTTGGCAGATAGACCCACCCAACCTGAAGGGGTCAGCCTTTAAGGGTAAGGGTAGTAAACCTTTAAGGGGTCAGCCAGTCAGGTTATTACTGAGTACTCCGGCTTGGGTTGAGCCCCCATTTATTAGTGCTGCTGAGCGGAGCTGTTCACGCAGTCTCCTTGTTTCTGGGTGACCCCCAGAATCTGGTTTGCCTATACGTATATACAGGCCATTTCAGATAGTCAGATAGTCCCTGCTGACTATCTGCTGCAACGTGCCTATCCACCAAAAGATATTCACTGATTTTGGGTAAATCCAGTGCATAACATGGAAGAGTCCCAGATGCCAACAGACCTGCAGGCCCTTATGAACGCGGCGGTGGCCACTTTAGTTGGAAAGGCCTTCGCCAAGAGAATTATTGGATGATTCTGATTCATCCTCTAAAGAACACTCACACCGGGCGAAATGCCACTGGAAGGGCGAAGGGTCTAAACAAAAGCCTAACAAAGGCAAATCTCCTCTAAAAAAGGGTAAACATGTGCAACCTGTGTCTCAGAGGGTTTATGAAGCCTCCTCAGACGACGAACATGACGTTCCCCCCTCTTTGTCTGTCCTGGATGAGTGGCAGGCTGAACAGTCTCAGTCAGATGACGAGACATGGGGTCATAACTCCTTCGTTAAGGAGACCTTCCTGGGTGAGCACCAGCAACAAGAGGACGTAGACGAGGCAGAAGCCTCAGAACAGTCAGATGGTGAGCACTTTTATGATTCCACAGGTTGGCGAATATTTAACCCAAGGAACATCCGACACCCACGTACGGGAGATTGGACACCACCACCTCATCTCACTAAGTTCATGCATTTCTGGCTGAGAAATGCCTTGGACAAAGAGGTCCGCAAGAGATTGCGCTCTGAGTGTCGCCAACCTTCGTTGACAGATAAAGTTGCGCTCACTCCGGAGTTTGATCAACTCATGCTAGCCTTCATGGCTAAGGGAGGCAGAGACCCTAGAAAAGGAGTCAAAAAAGGGTTTTAAAGGGCCCAGAATAAGCTGTTGGATGCTATAAGGCCACTGGCCCACGTGATGACACTAGCAGACCAAGCCTATGCTCAGGCTGATTCTTTTACGGCGGACATGGTACACGACTGGGCACATGATGTCAGTAAGTGGTCCCAAAGATGTTTGTTTTTTGAGCAACACCAACTTGGCCCTCTCGTCAGAGAGGTGCCGAGCAGCGCTCTTCAGAATAGATGGAAAACTTGTGGATCTTAGGGCCAAGGAGTTTCACCCTCAGGCACGCCGCAACTTGTTCGGCGAACCTTTTATGAAGGAGCTGAACAAGCACGTGAATGTGTTCACATAATTTAATAAAGCGCAAACATCAATGCGCAGTCTTTAGAGGCAGTACCCCAAGAGGGTTTTTTTGGCAGGGCTGGCCGGCAGAGGTGTTTTGCCACCAGCCGATTCTAGCCTTCAGGCCCCTGATACTCACGGACACAACCGTTCAACCCGGAAGTTGGCAGGCGCCAGCAATTCCAATATTCCAGAAGTTTCAACAGGGGCCATGGACAACCCATTCCCGTGACAGAAGAAGTCTGACAGGAATTTCGGTGGTGGCTCCATTGCAAGCCTGGGATGGACCAGCCATTTTCGGCACGCGTCCGGATTTCATACTGGAATCGGACGCGAGCCGATGGGGCAGGGGTGCCCCTGATGGACAACTAGCCACAGACGGGGTATGGACGACGGAGGAACTCACTCTCCATATCAATTGCCTAAAATTGCTGGCAGGGGCCTTTGCAATTCGGAGCCTGTCTAAGGGGAAAACCAATTGCTGTATCTTACTGCGCATGGACAACGTCTCCGTGGTTCGATACAGTAACCATCTAGGAGGCACCTGCTCCCAAACA